AACGAGCCATCTGGAGCGCTTACTGCGCTGTCGGTGTCTGCAATCAGATACCTTCAGAAAGGTCGCAACTGCGAAACGACATTATCGAAGCGCGATGTACCGAAGCGAAGCGATATAGATCAAAGCGCAGCGCTGTCGCTTCGCGATTAATAAATAATTTAGTGTAATTAATAAATAATTGAATGTTCTTAATAAACAATCAAATGTAATTACGTAATAACTGAGCTGCTGAGCGGAATGATGTATAAGTTATGAGAATAGAAGACAAATAAAAATAAAATAAATAATATTCAATACTAAAGACCGTTAACGTAAGAACATAAAAATAAAATACTCATTTTTGCGCTTTATTATTTAAACAAATTGTTCTTTTTAAAAGTGATATTATGTTTTAGCAAACAAAGGTTGGATTGTTATATTTTAGCGAACATATACAAATTATATACATATAATTATATATATTATTAAATTATACAAATATAAACGTTAAATTATTTTTTTAATAATGAAAATTAAAAAAACATTGTTTTCTAAGTGATGAAAGTTTTGTGCGCATTGTTTATTCCGCTTAATGGCTTGACCGATCAGCAGCAAAAGGCGGAAGAAGAAAACGAGTTGACCCTTGCAATCCTTGAAAGTCTTAAGCAATAGAAGCTCTTTTCTATGGTACGTTCATAGTTCCTTTCTGTACTTTCAAATCCGTGTACAATAAAGAGTAGAAGATTTATATCAATCGTGTGGAATATTTTGCAGCCGTTAGAGCTTGGAGTTTCTGATATAGAAGATTTTCCAATTACAATTCTCACATAGACTTGATAAAAAAGTCTTTTCTGATTGTACGGTGGTTTGTTTAGAATTATTAATTTACTGTTTAGCATAAGTTGAGCGAGTAATTATTTTAAACGTGAATTTCGAAGACTTTAATAACTTTAATTGAAAATTTCGTTACTTTACGTCAATCGCTGCAGTATTTATATACTATATATCGTTAGTGTGCGACAACGTAATGCAGCGTTCGATCTTCCGGTTCCGCATAATTTCACCGTACACGCTGCATGCCTGCCGACAACTTGTGTCATAAATTTTGCATTCCACCGATAATTAAGCACAGACACTGCATGACTCAGCCAGAAATCTAAAATTCGCGAGTCTGCCAACTGATATCATAGCGTGACGTGCATTATAAAGGAGTTAATGATATTTTTAAAATTTAATATAAAATTTTTTTAATTATTACACTACTGTATAAAAATAAAATTGAATAATATTGCATTGTAATGTCAATTGATTTTACAACGTGATACGCGTTGCGTATAGAAGTAATTATATCGTGATTAACAGCATTATACTGGTAAGCCATCCAACCGAAACACGGAGCTTATACACACATTATTTTTTGACTTAAGAGATCATATCGTACACGTAGCCATGTGTATTCGCAAATTCCAAGCGAACTCGCAAGCGCAAATCGCGTTGCATGCCGCGGCAAATTTCAGACTCTAAAAACCGCTGCTTCGTAAGCAGAAAGAAGCACGCGAGCGCCCATGAAACTTTATGTATAAATATCAGCAGGAATAGAAAAAGGATGAAAACCACAGTGCGGCACGAGCGCCCAATTATCGCTCCGAAATATATCCGAAACACTTTCGCTTATCATAACGCAAAGTAACTTTGTCATTTGCGCTTAAATTGATCTTAAATTGACCTTTAGTTTATAGGTTTTTAAAATGGAAAGTGTCTCCAAGGTTAAAAAAAGTGAAATTATTCTATGTATGATATTTCTTTCGTGACCATATTGTCGACAATTTCGTCTCGATTATCTTTAAAAGTTTCTAAATTACTGAATAATTTAGTATTATCGGCATTCAATTGAAAAGATTCAAAAAATAATACGGAATAAATAACGTCGTTGCAAATAAAATTGCGAAATAAATCGGTTTCCCAGGAGTAATGAGAATGTAAAGCAATATTAACCGCGCGTAGACGTTCCGAAATAATTAAATTTGTTACAGGCAATTGTACCCGCTCCCTACGGGCGCTTGGTGAAATTTATTAGAAAATCGTTGCACTCTCTCTTGATTTTGCATATTAATATCGCGTGAACTGGTAAACAGATAATTATTGTCGAAAACCAGAGACGAATCCGATGGTAATAAATGCAACCTGCGGATCTTTTCGCTCAAGTTAGACGGTGGTATGGATATTTTACCGAGATGAATGCGTTTCTCACGAGCGCGTACAATGTAATACTTAACTCGGCGCGAGATGCATCTGCTGCCTCTGGTACATTAATCACCGTCGCGCGTCGACCCGAGCCGCGCGCTGCTTCCATTACGCGACTCCACGGTACAAATGAACTGCCTCCGAGTGTGTAGTAGACGTTAGCTACCCGAGAAATTGATATCGTTTATCGAGGGCCAATTCGACTGTATAGGAAACGGAAGGCATATCAAGTACAATGTTTGAGCGGAAGTTTAATTTTTTCGTACCGGAGAAAGAGAGAATAGGGCGGCCATTAATACGAGAATGCAATTTGCATCGAAATCTGACAATGGCCAAAACAAATTCGTCGCTGTTAATATTCACGAACCGCGGTTAATATCTACGCGTTCGTGTCCTTCGCGAATTGTCGCTCTCGCCGCACTTGTTTCATTATAACGGTGCCTCGCGCATGAATTTACATGTAAATGAAGAACACGGAACCCCAGAAAGTTTCCGATCTCTCGTGAAAAATGTAGCTGTCGTGCGGTTTCTTTGCGTGAGGATCAGTGTAAGACGCTTCTCCTGTTCGAGATCAAAATCTACGCGCGGTATAAAAACATCGGACCGCGTATTTTACCGCTGTTTTATCGATCTTTTCTCTGTAAGTACCCGATGTTCGATCGGTTGACTTAAGTTTCCAAAGGCGAAAATAAAACGCGTGCTAGAAAACGTCTGCGGAGGTCGAATTACAGGAAATTTAATAGATTTAATCATTTACTGGATAATGAGATAGTCAATGTCTTTAACAACTTTGATTCTACTAACTTTTGTATTTTTACTTGTCTTTTCAACTTGTGATATCGAGAAAACGAGGATGCCTATTTCGCCTTTGCGAATTCGATTCTTCGTTTCTCTTTCTCTCTTTCTGCTTTCTCATTTCAGCGTTTTCTCAAGAATAACGACTTTCTAGTGGCAGTAAAATAAATTGGCTATCGCGAAGCCTACAGTCGCGCCTGTCGATTTCACAGATTGATTCTAGATAAGTTAATTTATTTTCTAGAGGGCAAACGAGAAGATTTTTCCGCGAGACTTGCTTCTCGTGTGTGAAAAAGAAACTAGCTTGATAAAACTGCAGAAGTTAAGGAAAGGTATGAAATACCTTTTTTTAGATAAAGAACGTTAAGTGACAAAACGGCATAATTTAATGTAATTTTAGAAATTTTTTTATTACTACAGAGAGCCACAAAGTAATAGAAATCAATAGAATTGAATAAAATGTAGAAATTTGATTTAAATGTATAAAGAATATATAAAAGCAACATAAAATAAATAAAAAAATAATATTAGCATAACATTATTTACTTTTTATATGTAATAACTCTTTTATTTTATTAAAACGTAAACACTATTAGTTTTAGCTTGATGTTTTGGTGGTTTAATCGCAATTGCGGTACTGAAATTTGAAACGGCTTGCACGTGATCCTCGTCTAATTTTGCAAACGTAGACTTTTCCGACCACGTGCGGAATCAATTGGGACGCATTGACTTCTCCATACGTGGCAGGAAACTTTCAATAAACGTGTGAGTACGGTTGGTTGTACAATCAGTATGTTGCATTTACGTTCATTTGGCATTTTCGAAAATTTCGTATGTAACACGAGCATAGTTTTGTTTGCGGGAACGCATGGATTCTTATTTACCAAAAACATTTACGAGGCATTATACGCTTTAACGTTTCATAAATTTCGTTGATGTTTGCACTTTGCTTCGGGCAGACTGGCAAATATTGATTGCTGAATTGAGATTCTGCATATATAACGCCCAGAGAATTCAAAGCGTGCAGTATTATCAAACGGAACCAATTAGTGTTCATACGTAGGCCAATGATTGTTTACGGCATGAAGCTTAGAATTCATAAAATATTTTTTAATTTTAAGGGACTGCGGGTTTTTCTTTTCTTTTGAATTAATTTGGGCAGTTGATACTCGTATCTTATTTCATAGCACTGTTCGAGTTCCAATTGTTAATCAATTATACCATATATATATTCTTGTCACAGTCATTATATATAAAAAAAAAAAAGAGAATAATCTTCTAGAGAAAAACTCGTACTTCTCTCGACAGCTTAAGAAGGCATCTTCTATGATGTCGCGAAAGAATATGTTCAAAACATTACTAATAGTTGCAAAACGTCATTCAACACGTGATGCCGTAAAAATATATAAAATCATAAATTTTTGTGCCAAATTATTCTCGTCCTGTACACGATAACCAATTTGTATGTACCTTTCTTTAGATCGCACGGTACAATCACGCACGATATATTTATTCACCCCGTGTATGCTTTTTATAATCGCACAATTACACCGCTCAATTACCATCAGACTCGTGTAGTCGCCGGTAATTACTAGCTGCGAACCGCCCTTGTACCAATTAACCACACGGTAACCATGTGCTAACAGCGCAGAAACTGTTCAGCAGGGGCCTCTACTCTTTATAGTCGGCGGACGAGTCCTCGAGAGGATCGAAGGATCATTTTCTTGTTCCTGCACCTGTGTCCATATGTCCGTGTGTGCCTGCGTGTGCATGTAAACGCGAATGTTCGTATGTATGTACATGTGTGAGAGTGCCGAGTGGGGACGGTCGGATTGAAGTACAGCCGGAGAACATGCGGAATTCAACGAGGGAGAATTGTAGCCGGGGAATTGAAAAGACGGTCGAGGACAAGAAAAAGTGAACGGGGCCTAGAAGTCGGATTGCGACGTGGCCAGAGCACTCTCGGCCGTCTCCTCGCGTCGTCATAAGGGCCTCGCTTCGCCACACTCGCAATGCGTTGGGTGTCCACGACGGTCCACGCGGTTACTGATTGAGTGGTCGCTGCAACAGAAAGAATGAATGAAATTATTAACGCAATCATCAGAACAAATAGTAGAAGAGAAGCTTCTTAGATTCACAAATATATAAGATTAAAGGCGAGAGTTCTTACTCTAGTATACCAATTAAAAGTAAGGTAATATTATATTACAATTTTGCACTTAACAATGTAACTGTTATATAACACCATGTGTTATATTACATTTCTATTGTTAAGCGAAGAATTGTAACATTGATATTATACTACTTTTAGTTGATGTCGATTTTATATTTAAATTATAATGTAGTGATTAATATCACAATGTAGTGTGACATTTTTTTTTTAATATTAATCGAAATTGGTATCAGTAATTAGCTGTGCACAAGTGAAGAAAAGAAAAATGTGAAGAGAGAAAGTTTCCTGAGAGGCAAAGCATCGAGCATAACATAAGTACTATATATAACATAAGTACTATATATACAGTTATAATGCAAGTTACATAAATAGATATCGTTTTTTATAGAAGCTTTCTGTTGGGTTCTCTTAATAAAATAGAAGGTATCAGAGGAAATTTTCCATTAAATTTGAAAAAACAGTGCTGCTGTTTCTTCCAACGAGAAGACCGCAATTTAATAAGCTCTATTAAATTAAAATAGTTTAATGTCCGTGGATTGCAAGTTGATGAAATTGCAAAATCCATTAAATTATATTGAATTTATGGTATGCGCCAAATGCATACAATTTATTTTGATGTTAACCTTTAGGACGGGGGGAAAACTTCTATTGCATTATAAGTACGGTGTCCTTATTAAGGCACTTCGTTAAATCAGTCAATATGAGATTCTTAGAAATGCAATTTGTGTTGCACGTCAGTGCTTCCTATTTACCGTAATAAATTTATGTAGCAAAATATTTCTCACAATAACAATAAAAGCAATAAAGAGGATAGTAAACATGCTGTTTCTTTCCTTTATATTTCAATAATGTTTTTTCTTTGCTATCTATGTTTGAATTTTCTTTATGAATAACAAGTATATTAATTTAAAGTACAAAAGATACTGGAGATAAGGAAAAACCTTTAATTTGAAGTTCCGATATCGACATTTTTTTTATCTTTTTGCTTTAATGAATAATATTGTTTCAGAAATCGATGAAAGAAACGCGTGCGTAATGAAACGATTGAAAACAATAAAGTACACACAGCATGGAATCCTTGATTGCACAACGACGAACTTGCTGTTATAACGAGTAAATAATCGAGTCGTTCCACCCCGTCGTTTATTCATGTATATGTATACGTATAGCGATATAGAATAATTTCGCAATATGAAAGATTCTTTCATTTGTAAAAGCAAAAATGCATTTCAGCGACTTTAGAAGTATACATTATCTCGATGAAATAATTAGAATAAAACAAAATTGAGATTATAAGAGCATTTCCAAGTCCTATGTCGAAATCTGTAAGCCACTGCCTTTCATGTGTTCCCTTATGTGGCTCTGCGTAGGCTATACGATTATGATTAAATGTGCAACTCATATGAATGTGTATGAATGAGATATGACGTCAATGAAGCGGTATATATGCCAATATTACAATATTCGCACGATGGTTTGCAATGTTATGTAATAATTATACACTTTTTTCCTGTTAGAAGCATGTTGATTACCGTGTTACATGTCTTTTCCAATATGTTTTTCAATATTGCAGTGACTTGTAATAATTAAAAGGAACTTTTATCATTTTTATCCTTATTTTAGAATTGTGAGATGAAACGGAATGGTTTAATATGTGTACACATTATGACAAAATATTCTCGCTGAGAATTCCACTCCTTTGCTTAAATTTGTTATCATAAAGCGCAATAACTCTTTTATGATGATTATATATATCACTGACATACACACACCTAGTAAAATGATTAAAATGCTACAACGGAGGGCCGAGGAATGAAAGCGCTGCGATGTATGGCGATGCCTTAATCTTTTACGACTTCATTGAATTTTTGCCACAATGCAGCTTGCAACCTACATGAGAATTGTTACATTTTGATTCGCTTTGACGTTTTATCTTTTGATACATTCTATTGCTGCCGCTAGTTTCTACAGAAACCACTTCAACCCGAATTCCGCGGATTGCCTCTTCTGATTATGTGCCGCAAAGAATAGAGGATAGCCAAAACCTTGGTTATACAAAAGGTTCTATTGTTAAATTGAGGACTGCCGACATTCGCTCGTGCTTTAACAATCAGGCTGAAGCTTAAGAATATTGCATATTCATACGGGCTTTTCTCACACAATAGAATGACACCGTCATCATAAAAAATATAATATAACTGGACATCCTAGAATTAAGTAGATGGCTTATGATAAGCATTTATCAAGTAATTTAAAGTCTCAATGTTGCCTTAAAAAATTAATTAAACATCAATTTATGAATAAAATTTAAATGTAGAGGAAATTAATCAAATAAAACATTATTACATTTTTAATATTAAGGATTAAGAAATTTTGTTGAAAAGGGTGGTACAATTTATTGCAAGGGAAAAGTCGGTTTGAAATTAAAAAAAAAAATACGTTATTATAATCGGATTAACTTCAATATCTCGCAGCGTTAATAAAAAGCAATAAAGCACAGAAAAAGTGTAAAATAATTTTTGTGAAAGATTAAAACTATCCACGGCAATGTAGATCTGACGTAAAGGGTTTATAAGAGAAATAACGAAGATTAGTACGTCGAGTTAGCGGAAGAGCAGACCGAGATGACAGGGATGGAAGCAGGCGGGATAGCAAATCGCCGTGGGTGATGAGAAAAAAAAAAAGAGTTCTGAACGCGATATCACCATGACCTACATCGTCCCTCTGAAAAAGAGCAGTGAATACTGAGTACATTGTCAGGCGCAGTAGTAGTAGACCGATGGTATCAGACAACGTTGCTCACGCAGTGGTTACTACTCAATAATGGCCCAACAACGTTTAGGTCAGATCGCGTGCTGATCGTGGCAAGTAGTAAGCAAGAATTTTTTAATTATTTACTTTCTCTGCCACTTTTTCATGTTCGAACTGTTTACGTCACTTGTCGATTCCCGTAACGATATCGTTTGCTTAGCGTGGAGCTTTCCGTTAGCTTTACTTCGTGGTATATTACGATAATAGCGATTCAAGTGGAGTGCGCGCATATGAAGGAAAAATAGAACGAGAAAAACCCGCATTGGGGTAAAACCGAAAAACTGAGTAACTGCGAGTAAGTTGTAACGATTTACTTGACATTTGTGAAATGAATTCCAGAGACTTTTGAATTAAACATTAAAAGGGGAAAAATAAGGAAACCGGATAAAAGTGATATTTAACCGCGATAGTCTAAATCGTTCTATGACGTGACTGTCATACCAGTAGAGGAAATCGATGGTAGGTGAAGTATTTGTTACGTTTACGAGCGTGCAACAACGGGACTTCGATAAGATCGTCATAAAGTTCATCGCAAGCTTTAGCGCCTTATTAATTCAAACTTTCATTGTAACCAATAAAGTTACAAGTCCCTGTGCGGCCAAAAGTGATTTCTACCGCCATGCTCGTACACGGCGAGTTTAAAGTTTGAAGTCGTACAAATTGAACGAGACAATTCGATAACTGGTTATGAATTAATGTCCTGTTCTGTGTTCTATGTTCTAATTTTTTCGACATTTTGCGAAGTCTATAATCTCTAAATGAAAATAACATCGAGAAAGATAGAATGATTCCAATAAAATGAATCGATAAAAATTATTTAAGTATTTATTATTATTATTTTATACAAATATATATTATACGAGTATATTTTTCTTTCAGTTTTACTCACAAAATTTTATTTAATTTTCATCTTTTCTCTTACAAATCTTTAAATTCCGTAATATAACGTATATTTTGTAAAATCAAATCTCGAACTGTTTGTTCTTCTCTGTAGAAACATTTTACTTGAAATTAATTTGAAAAATTTTATGATAATAAAACATATATAATTACAGAGCCAGTGGTAATGTATTTTAAAACTTTTATTGGACTGACTTTACTTGACGTAAAACGAATTTTAAAATACATGAAACTGTTAGCTGAGACAAGCAATGTCCACTTTTCACTTTGGTGTTAAAAATTTCTTCGATAGATAATGCCGCTCGGCCCGCAGGGTTGCATTTTATATGCAGTTAACTCAATTCTCGCTCTCTCTCTCTCTCTCTCTCTCTCTCTCTTTCTCTCTGTTTCTCTTTCGCGCCCGTCCATCAGCATATATAGCACCCGACCGTGGCCAACGAGTATGACCTTTTCAGAATGTCAACGAATGTTACAAGCACTTGCGTGACAGCAGAAGAGGTGGCGGATACGCGCCCTTATCCACGCTCGCACAACTCCCACGAGACGCAAAGTTATGATTACGAGAGCTCGCAATATACTCAAGGGACGTAAATTTTAGGGCCGCTTCGGTTGACATGCTCGATTGAAGTTCGAAATTGGAGTCGCCGACTGCACGGCGTTTAATAAGGACTTCGCCGTCAGCGATCAACGGGGGACTTGGTAGGAACCTGGATCTGACAAGGTCGAGGATACGTCCGACGACGCTATACGTGCTCGCTTTTAGGCGAGCTAATTCTTAACCGTCGTTACGGGAGAATGGGAGTTGAGATAATTGTGCCGCGTTGGCTGGCACAATTGTATTACTGAATAGTGAGTCATACATATTATAAAGAACACATTGTCCTTGTCATTTACCTTGATCTTTACAGTTATAAAAGTAATGGAACTGAATTTAATAAAATAAAAGTAAATTTAAAAAGTGAGTTTAATAAGTTCTTTATAAACTTCTCTCTATTTCTTAAAATAAAGGTTTAAATATATACCAATTAAATCGTTGTTACATTTAATTAATCAAGATTAAGAACTTGATATTTTTGAATAATCTGTTTTTGAAAATTTTTAATCCGAAGGGAAAATGTATGATGAATATTAAATGGAAATCTAAATAGGTACGTTCTTATACCACTTCGTTGTTATC